CTCAAGTTGGGAGTAAATGTCACACATTCCCAACTTGTGTAGATCATGTTCAAGCTTGTTCTTTGCCACCCCTTTAGTGAGAACATCAGCTAGTTGCAACTCTGAAGAGACATAAGGTAAACAAACTTCTCTGGTTATTACCCTTTCTCTTATAAAGTGTCTATCAACTTCAATTTTTTTTTCCTATCGTGCTGAATTGGATTGTGGGTAATATTGATTGTAGCCTGACTGTCACAGTATAACATCGTAGATTCCTCTACTTTCACCCCAATCTCACTCAAAAGAGATCTAACCCAAAGAAGTTCTGAGACACCATGAGCCATGGATCTATACTCAGCCTNAGAAGTTCTGAGACACCATGAGCCATGGATCTATACTCAGCCTCTACACTTGACCTTTCCACAACCGCTTGCTTCTTACTCTTCTAGGAGATCAAGTTTCCACCTACAAAGGTACACACTCSTRATGTAGACCTCCTKTCATCTAAGCATCCTGCCTAGTCTGCATCTGTATAGGATTCTAGCTTCAGATTCTCATAATTTGAGAAAAGAATGCCTCTTCCAGGGTGCTTTTTCAGATATGCAAGTATTCTCTCAATAGCTTCTGGTACCACAAACATCCTTCTGGTACCCCAGATGATCCTTCCACAAAAGATTCCTTTTCTGTGGGATGGGAGAAGAAAGAGAAGAGGCAGTCACTCTCTCCAGAGACCTCCAAAAAAGGTAGGACTTGAACCGCCCTCTTCAAAAAACTCCAAGGAACCCTAAAAAATTAGGGCGCCACTTCCTAGGTCAAAATTGAAGAGTCCTACAAAAATAGGACTCTCTCCCTTTCTCCAATTCTTCTTGAATTTGATGGGAAACCCTAGACCAGCTACAAGGCAAAACAAATCCACCAAAACATCCAAAAACTGGCTTACCTAAGATCTTCGATCAGCCTCTCATATCACCATGAGGGCTGCATGATAGAGCAGATCAAGAAACCTTCGTCTCGCTCTGATACCAAGTAGAAGTTGCTGATAGCTAATTCTGATGTATACTTTGTGAAGAAAAGTAGAAGACATTGAAAGGTTTCAGCAAGAGAGAAAGAGAGAGAAGAAGAAAGAGAGTGGGATGAAGCCAGAATTGAATAGATCTGGCCGCCAACCCCTCTTTGATTTATATACTTAAAATAAAAGAATGGAAGATTACAAGAATTCCCTTAGTAGGGCGGCTACTTTAAGTAGCTGAACAGTCACAACTTAAAAACATAAACTAATGAGCCTAAAGCCATAACTTAACAACTTAAAAATAAAAAATAAATGATTGGGCCCAATAACTTGAAATCGGCCTAACTCAACACTTCTATAGATGGCTTTTGATATTTTATCAATTTCATAGATCATTATTCTACATGCATGTGGATCTACTTGTTAAAAGGTCGTGATAAAGTACCATAAATAAAATTGATATTCTACAAAGTGGTTGAGACATAGTTTGGCAAAAAGGTTAAGTAGTTTCACTCAAATAATATTGTTGAGTATTTTGAAAGCTCCTTGAACATGTTTATGGAAGAAGTAGGTGTTTTGCACCAAATATCTTGTGCTAGAACTCAACAAAATGGAGTTGTTGAGTGCAAGAACAAACACTTATTAAAGACATCTCAAACCTTACTTTTTTCACACAAGGCGCCCAAGAAGTATTGATCATAAGCAGTTTTGACAACCTTATATTTGATAAATCAAATGCCACCTAGGGTATTGGGCATGAGAATTCCATATTCTGTTCTTTGTCCTACTTAAGATGTTTTCCTCCTTCCTCAGAGTTTTTGGTTGTCTGTTTCAGTCATGTCAAGGATCCTAAGAAAACAAAGTTGGATCCAAGATTCATGGTGTCTTTATGGGATATTCTCCTACACAAAAGGGATATAAGTTTTATGATCCCATCACCAAGACAAAGTTTGTCACCAAGGATGTAGTTTTCTTTGAGCATCAGTCATCATTTCAATCTCCCAAAGATCCTCTTTAGGGAGAGGCTAGTAGGGTGGAAGAGGATTCTTCGTCTCCTCCTTTATGCAATTCTTGACTTCTAGTCTTCCATCTTCCCCTGATCCTCCTAGTTTTAGCTATTTACGTGAATATGGTGAGACTCCAACTGATTCCACTAGTATTCTGGATGCTGGAAAAGGGGCTGATGTTGGTGATATTGATCTTGAACAATAAAAGGAGCTAAGCCTTTGTCTTCTCTTTCTTTTGTCCATGTTCCCACCAGATACTTTAATGCTGTATCCGACCCTAAATGGAGAGAGTCAATGAATGAAGAAATGAGGGCCTTTGTGAAAACCAAGACTTAGGAATTAGTAGATCTACCAGAAGGAAAGAGCACTGTGGGGTGTAAGGGGTGTTCATTATGAAACATAAGGTGGATGGTTCAATAAAAAGGTATAAGGCCAGGCTTGTGGCAAAAGCGTTTACATAGAAGGAGGGCATTGATTAGAAGGAGACATTTGCATCAGTAGCTAATCTTAACACCATTTGGGTCCTATTGTCCTCTACTTTTTTCATAAAGAGGTATAATGATATGAACACAATATTTATAGTATATGTGGATGATATGGTGATCATAGGGAATGATCCATAAGAGATAAAAATACTTGTAATCTGTTAAGAAAGCCTTAGTGAAGGAAGGAGAAGAGAAGAGGGAAGGAAGAGAGAAGTCAAACTTAGAGAAAGAAACCTGACGGGTAAGTGGCAGCTCCCACTGTACCCTATTATATTATAAAATAAAATATTTATAGGGTAGTCCTTGAAGTAGAAGAAATTACATGAAACCTCCCTTGCATCATTGACACATTTCAAAAACACCCATCACAACACTCACCCTCAAGTTGGGTTTGTAAATATCATGCATAGCCAACTTGTTACATAACTTTTCATGACGTAGGGTAGACACACCTTTTGTAAAAACAGCAACCACTTGCTCCTTTGATTCAAGTTCGAGGCTAAAGATCTTGGTCCTCCAAAATATTTCTTTTGTATTGAAGTTGCTTGATTTGACAAGGGTATTTTTATCTCCCAAAGGAAAGTATATCCTTCGCCTGTTGAAGGACATTGGGAAATTGGGATGTAAACTAGTTAATACTCCTATGGATCAAAAACTTGGAAACTGTAAGGGTGAGACAATTTCAGATTTCATCAGTATTAGAGGCTTATTGGAAGGCTGTTATATCTATACACAACTAGACTAGATATTGCTTTTGTTCTGAGTGTACTGAGTCAGTATATGAACTTACTTAGACCCTCTCACTTCAAGGAAGCCAAGAGAGTACTATCCTACTAGAAAAGACACCCAAGTAAGGGTCTCCTTTTTACTAAGCAAGGTCACACTGAGGTGGAAGGACAGCTTGATGTTGATTGGGTTGGTTTTATTGATGATAGGAGGTCCACTACTGGTTACTGCACCTTTGTCGGAGGAAATTTTGCAACTTGGAGGTGAAAGAAACAGTCTGTGAAGTCACCACCGTCACTTACCCATTCACATTCTTTCTCAGTTCTGTTCGCTGTCCTCTCTCTCATTCCTCTTCCATACTAGATCACTGTATGACAGATTGCATTACTAAAGAGGGGCAAGTTGTAATTTTCTTGTCTTTTAACAGAAAGTATAAATAGAATATGGTGGGCCAACCACAAGGGCTAACATACCCATTTTTTCTTTCATTTGTTCTTTTCCTCTTCTCTTCTACTTAATCATCAAATGTAGTTTGTCAAAAAGACTTGTCCTTGTTACAACCAAATATCCATGTTTAATTATTGTATCACCAAGTAAACCAAGAAAGTCCAAATAAATACGTTTCACAGTGAAATAAAGAATGAAAATAGAATGGGGAACTGCTTTCTGTGTCATGAATGTGTACAAAAAGATAATCACTGACCTCTTTAATTTCATGCCACATGTCTTTGGCTGTTATACCCTGGGAATTTCCAGATATAATGAAGCATGGACACTCAGAGACATGAATATCAGAACTTTCTTCGGCTGCTATGGCATATGTTACTGGAGGTTGTCCATCAGCAGTCCTGAATGTGCATATAAATAGCATTAGAAATCACAAACCAAACCAATTATATAATGTACATAAAAATACTTTGGTGAAACCAAGAATTTGGAAATTTTTTCCTCCATATGGAGGAAAGCACACTTGCTTGTGATGTAGAAGTACACCATGCACGCCATTCTTCACCCTATGGAATGACAAAATATATTTATATATATATTAGAAAAAATTTCAAACATACAAAAAAAATAGGAATGGAATCTGTGAAATGTAAAAATAGTGCTAATGTTTACAACTCTTAGAGGTATTCATACTTCATCTTTGAATTGAAGTGATAACCAGAAAATCCAGAGTCACCACCAACAGAATTCTGAGAAGATGACAAAAAGGAAGGAATAATTTACAGGACTATATGAGATTTCAAAGAATACAGGTAAGAGTTGCAGTATGACTAAAGATATGCTGCAATTGAAAGGAAAGCATAAATGCTTACAAGCAAAAGCTTAAATTGAATAGAATATGCAATCTAAACAATCATAACTTACAGTCCATGTGAAAAGCAAGGTGATATCTGCAGCAGTCTCTCCTGAATTGAATAACTAGAGAGAGAAAAGAAAGTGTAAAGCAACAGCTTAATATCAAATTGCTGGTAATAGAATCTTACAGCAAGTTCTTCGAAGGCTTTTTGATACCGTGAATGTAAATACTGCTACAGGAAAACTGCTCTCCTTATAATTATGAGGAATAAATGGTGAAATCTGACGGCAAACTATTCTAAGTTCTGGATCAGGTTCACCTGGATTGAGAAGAAAGGGGTTTTTAATATATAAAGATCATGATCTATGGTAGTGGAGATAAGGTATGGCAAGTCCACAAACCGTCATATACTGTCCAAGATCTAGGAAACAGTGCATGATATGTAGAACTTTGTCCATTCAGGTTCCAGTCCCAGGATCCAATCCCTGAAATGTTACTCTCCCTGCATAACCATGTATATTTTTTCAGTGTCATTTATTGTCATTTCCATTGCATCAGACTTCCAAACATAAATATCAAATTGTGGCAGTCTGAATCCAAATCTAATTACTCCAACTTGGTTTTTTTACATTGATTTTGGGCTGAAATTTTACCTAGGGCTAGGTTAGAGTTTAGGCTCAAAATCTAAACTTTATCTTGTGTTGATTGGTTATGGCCTATGGCAATGAAACCAAGCCTAAGCCCTAAAATATATACTGCATATTTTTGTGTGTACATATGCATGCTTGGAGATAAGTATGACCATTAATAAGCATATAAATGACAACACCTTAGGTGTTTGGTCCTGGGGTATGCATGGCCATGGTGAATGATTGTGTTCAAGCCATAAGAAGCTCAGTGTCATAGATTTTTAGCATTGCATTATATTATAATAGAGCCTAAGAGGCCGTTTGCTAACAGCTGAACTGGTTGAACTGAATGATTTATTGCTTGTCTTTTAGTGAATAAGTTATTAAGGAGGTCGTGAGCTCCTTAATTGCTCAAATTAGTAGGCGATCAAGACTACAATCAGCCTTGAATCCTAATGGATTTCAGATTAGGAAAGGTAAAAGAAAAGTAAGGAAAAGAAGAAAAGAGAGGAGAAGAACAGGAGAACACAAAGGTTTGAAAGGAGGGACAGATTC